CTGAAACTGCGGAATTTTGAACTGGGTTTCGCAAGAAACTGTTGAGTTTCCAGAAACTCATAAATATATAAACACTGATAAATATAACAATGGGAAGAAATCGCTGCTAACGTAAATATTAACGACATGAGAGACCAGTAAAAAAACTACATTTTTGTAATTTTTGAAAAAACAAAAGAAAAAAGCAATATGGCGTTTACGTCATTTTAAAGAGTTCACTTAATACTAAACCTACCAAATAGTTTCAAAAAAATTGGATCAGATTTAAGAAAATACTTTTTTTTGTAATTTTTTTAAATTGTACATATTGCTCACAATATTGAAAACTATTAAAAGTTTCAAAAAATTGTAAATGCCTTCATGAAACAACTAATTACGGATAACAAATTTCATTTCATGTTGAAAATATCTACCTTCAATTTTGAAGTTGTAGGAAGATGCGAAAAAGTTTAAAAAATTGCAATTTAAAAAAATTGAGAGCTAACCTTTACGATTATACTGGTGCCACCTTTATAACTGCATTTTACTCTATTTTTACAAGAAATTTGAAGAAAAAATTTGGAGCCGTTTTTAGGAAAAGTTTGAAAATGTCGCAGGAGCTACATGAAAAGTACCCCAAATTTTGAAGAATGTTATTCAAAATCGCGGCGCTTCGAATGGAGCGAGATCAATCGAGAAATGTCCATTTTAGAGAAAATCATACGTATGGTTTAGTAGCTAGTAGTGTTCACAGACGGACGCACAGACAGATGGGCAGATGTTTTTAAAAAACACTTTTTCGGTGTCATGGGACTCCAAAACGTGCATTTCCGTTGAAATTTCGATATCAAATCTCTGCAGTCATACATAACTTTCTTTGTACTACGTACATTACTCCGTATATACGTATGTATGCGGGAAAGTAAAAATGTATTGATTGGCGCTAACAAATGGAAATGTTGTTTATTATTTGGAGTAATCAGACAATTATTACATTGTCATGATTACATACATTTTGATTTTGCATTCTGGTCCTTTGAAAATCGTAATAATGTGACCTTTGAGGATGAACGTCCTTGCGTTCCTTTGGATGAGGTACATTTGGTCTTCGATTCAGTTAGGTTGCCAAGCTATCTCAGGATTTAGACATAGCTTGAGAGGACCAACAAGTGATAAGGGTTTGAAAATATCTTTTATGGAAATACAAATTTTAAAATGAATTAGAATTGTCTTGGAATTACACAATACGTAAAAGTACATAGGTTTCATTAGAGCATAAGTGTGAGACATTCATTTCAAGATGCAGATTGCGGGATAATTTTGCCCTTGTTCATTCATATAGTTAAAGCGAATTTCGAAATTTAAAAATCGTTTTAAAATGAGTTCTCGCTCTCTATTCTTGACTACTACAAATAAGAAGCTTTTGCGAAAGGGGAAGTTAAAAGGCATTTTCTAATTGCATCGAATAGACTCCTGCTGATCGTAATTACTCAAACGGATCCGTAGGACCATTGAACCCCTGTTCGAATTTAGACCCAGTTCCAGGAGACATGCTGCTCGAGAATGGAAGGAAAATGATTGAACGTCTGAACTTCGAGCAAGAACTGTGGATGTAAATGGTGTACTTTCTACTAAATATAGAAGGCAAAGTAAAATTACAACTCATGACACAAAACAAAAATGCATTCACTCGATTCATACATCATAGTAACTAATTGATTTTGAATTCTCATAGCATTGATATTATTTGAGTTACTATCCCAATGATATTCATAAATGTTTCAAAGTTTCATTTAATATCATATTAAAAAAATATTATTATGCATTTTCATTTAGCCATTTTTTTAGTAAATGTTTGATATTTTGACTCAACCGGTGACGATAAATCACAAAGACATTCAATCCGTATCCAACTTGCATAAAAGTTTGATGCCACAATCCTCATACAGTATTTAACTAAAACGTGAGTGTGTGGATGTGTGTTTTTGCGGTTCCGTCACTCGCGGCTAGACCACTTTCCGTCCACCAATCGACACGTTTGAAGTGTTGTTCGACGCGTCTCCTGATGGAAAACTGATAATTTGTGTTCGAATCTGGTTAGGATATTTTAAAAAATTACGAAAAACTTATTTTATCGCGTTTTGGCACTGTGATCTTGTGATAACGCTAGGAATTAAACAAACCCTTCTAAATAGTTCTAGTTAGGTGGAGTTGATTAAACCCAAAGGCATTTTTTCGCTCCATACGCCATGATTTGACATCTATAATTGTATTACCCAACTAAATCGCGCTGTAGATTTCATTTCTACTTTGATTCCAATTACCTTATTTCTTTTTTAAATAAATCTGCGAAAACTTGCAAATAGTATTGCCTCGGAACTTATGGACTTGAATTTCAAGTGAATACGCAGAAAATAAATCTGTGAATATTGCTAGAGAATGAATGAACGTTATGTTCGACCTCGCACTTTTACGTTCTTACATTAGTGTGCAAATACCAATTTTAAGATGGATGTGACCAACAACATATTCTTTGCTGTAGCGATCTCGGACCAAAGGATCGCGAGTTCGAGTCCCGCCTCGGGCATGGTTATATAGTGTTCGTCCTTTCACCCCCTATCATCATCATCATCATCATCGTCATATCGTGTCATCCTCACGGTTACCATACTGTTACACGCAATAGTGGTCGCTAATGACCTAGTAGTTGTTGCGACCTTAAATAACAAAAAAAATTTTTGTTAAACTTAACCAACACCTTATTCACATAAACATACAAAACAGTGGCCTTTTAATGTTATATTCGCATGCACCGCTAGATTCACATACAAAACGATTAATAGAGCAATTGCAGAAGTAGACGTGAACAGAAATAAGACTGAGTTTGGAGATGGCTATGGAATTTTCGGAACTAATTTGGAATGATCTGTATTTTTGCACTTAGCACTTGTGCTAATGTAAATGTGTTTGTGTATTTTTGTGAATATTAGCAAAAGAGCGTATTGCAGCTGTATTCAAATTTAACTATTAGAGCATCAAAACCTGCAAGTATTTGATACGGCGATTATAATTTTGAAACTGCAATAAGACCAGTTCATATCCCATATGGAGGTAACACACAAAGCCATTGGGTGTTGGAAACTTCTGAACAGGAGCATAATATTATCAGATACTAGGGTTCATTGCGAAGTCCAATCCTAGATACTGAGAGAAGATATTTTAACAGAGATTGGCAAACAGTTCTCAGCATCGGCGACGTTAAATTTTACTAGTAAATAAGTAAGTCAGTGCTGATTAGATAATTTGAATAAAATAAATTGTTAACTACATTTAAGTTACAAGTTAATGAGAGTTGTTTTTATATGATATGTAATATCATCGAATAATAATTTAAAATAATTTTCAAATAAATTACTGTGTCTTTCAAGCTGGAAAGTGTAATGTATATCACGTTTTGGTTATGGAAGAAGAATGTGCTTATTTAAACAATTTTATCTGCTTTAAGAGTTAGTTTTTGCATTTCAATACAAAACCTTAAGTAGCTGATCCCAAATTTGAAGAATTCAGTCCCAAATATTTGCAATAAAATAAACACTTGTTTATATTGTTTCGTATTGCGGAACAATACAGTTTAGGCATTTTTCAAACATCCACCCACTCAAGGAATTACTAGTCTTTAAAGCCTTTGGGGTTGGACCATATGGAAACGGAGAATCAGCACAAATCAAAGCTCTGAGGATGGAAATGAAAACAAGCTAGGGAAGGGAGAAACACGCGCTGTCCGTTCTCTGTTGTTGAAAGTACAGATCTGGAAACCACATTGCAACGATCTTAACTGAATGGAGAGAACAACAGAAATGTCAGGTCAAACCAAGCCAAACAGAATCTTGGAATATCATCCAGACAGAAGCGTGTATCGACCCAATAGCTTTGCTGGTATAGAACATCTACCACCGCCGTAACTCGAAGTCAGGACCACCCGACGTATGAAGTTGCAAAAACTGAACTATCGTCTTCTATATTATTTCAGTAGTACACATATCTTTTGCGACTTTCACACGCAACCTATCTTTATAAATGAGGTTTATAAAAAAAAATAATTTCATGGATACGTGTCGAATTAAACTTTGCCTTTAAAAATAAGAAGTGCTTTTAATAGCATCTAAATATTCATGCCAAATGTAACCCGCAGCACTCAGTCATATATCGTTAAATAACTCTTAAACAAAGCATTTTAGGGCATTAAAAACTACATTTTTGAAACCTCAGAGATACGCTTCTCACACTATAATCTACAGGATTAGATATTCTTGGATATTCTATTATTTTTTTGCAGGTTCCGCACTTATTGATACTACCAATTCCACCTATATTTTAACAGTTGGTGATGGTGGCCATATTTGCGACACCTAGAAGGCTTAGATTCCTTTATTCTGTAGTATTTACGCTTTTTGTGTTCACCGCAGCTTGCGCAGACTGGTGAGGCTCATTTGCATAATCATTAATTCACGATTCGCTCTCCCTGCAACTTGCATTACAATTAATAGTTGCTTGATACCAATGATGATTGTTCCTTATGCGTCTAGCGAAAATATTCATTTAACGTTTTGCCGAGGTCTACAAGCGCTGTGTTCCTAATTGTGGAGGGATGTGGGAATGCAGTGAAGAGTATAGTCGTATCTTGATAGGTTTCGTTTGTGCTTTACCTGTCCCAGTATTTTCGTGTTCAGCAGTGATTCAGTGTAACTTTTAAGTCTGCGTGTTCAGTCACGTAGCTTTCTCAAGAGCTTTTTTAATATTTTTGTGACTTTCAAGGAAAGCGAAAATCTGTCAAGAAACTTCAAATGTTTTCAAGTAAATGTGAATTGTTCGAAGATTACATAACAAAGAATAAATCTTTATTGAAAATTTGTTTCCAACGTCAATTGCAATGTTTTGATTTTGCTTGATATTGTGTAAGGACGATGTTACTTATATCACTTTTTAGTAAAAATACGTTTCATTAACAACTTTCCTTCATAATGGAAAGGATAGGGAAAGAGTGGGGATTAACATGCGAGAGTTCTTGCTCGGGTACGCTAGTACGCTTTAAACCTGATGATACAACAATAGGGTACACGTCGACTTTCTTCGAGACCTCGAGGTAAAACCAATGGAATGGTACATTTGGAAGCCGTGTAGTGTTGAGGTACTCATTAACGGAATTACTCTGGGTGAGTCATTTCAAGGAATAAAAAGCACATTATTGTCTTATCCTCAATTAGATGCACAGATGTTTCTTAAGATTTTTTATGAGAAACGCTTCGATTTTGCACAGCAGTTTCTTGACAATTTATCTTCTGTAATGTCCAAAAGGTTGTGTCTATACTAAGGTGACGCTCTAAGGATAATTCTGTGTAATGCCTAAGAAAAACGCAAATTTATGAATTGCCTTAATTGGAGTACACAATCATATTAATGTCAAATCTTTTCTGAAATAATAAGGAATCTCATGTTTTTAAAGATGTTGGGGTTGACTATTTTCCAAGAAAATGAATCAGTATACAGGTTTATTTTATATTTATTCGATAAAAGATATAAAGCAAATCATGATTCCCACATTCCTTTACGTAAACGATACATCTTTTATTTTCAATTCCAACAAATAATAAACATTTGCTTAATATTTTGTACAGTATGGTTTATGGGGTGACCACATAATTTTATTTACGTTCCAACAAACATCTGACATATGGATTTACAATAGAAATTGGTTGGAAAAAGTGCTATGATTAATTATGAGTTACATTATTGCTTGATGCGTATTAAATTGATGGGTGGTGCACGTGAATAGCCGTATTATCGGGGTCGATGTGTGACATCAGAGCTATGAAAGCATCGCTTTACGTTCGATATGATGAAGTTACGATACGTTTGGCTTGTGTCGAGCTCGCCAGGCTGTTCTGTAGACGGGTTCCTTCCCGAAAACAGTGTGCAACTGCCATGTAGATTAACAAGATGTACGAAGATGGAAATGCATTGGGTGGCTGTATGCGTTCTAAAACTTTTAACCCAGTTGGTTTCATAAATTTCTATGAATGCGACAGGGTAAGTTCGACTGAAACAGATCCTAAGATTATATTTATATTTAAAAAACAAAGGGGTGTCGCAGTGAAAGACTTTTGGCTTTGAACGCAATCACGTTTCGTGATTTAAGAAAATTACAGATAGTGAGCCCTAGATGTGATATCACTTATATTAACCCATTTTATAATACAAACACTAAATTAAATAATTCCTTAAAAGTAATAGAGTAAACGATTAATTGTCTTCATTTATTCATTAAGCCATTTCGATACTAACTACATTGGCCGTTGTCTTTCTGTTGTGCCGATTGCAGTTACCCGAGCGAAAGCAGTCGACGTTTCTTTGTGCACGAGCAAGCATGCAAGTGTGAGTTAGCGAAGTGAAGATAGGGAGGCTTTCAAAGACTGAGCTTTTTGGAAAATCAGTGATTAATTAGCTAAAGGAAGTGTCTAGAAAGCATCTGGCAGATAAGTGCATCCCTTTACAAAACTTTTTAGTGATTATATTTGGGTGTTCTATAGTAACGTTAATGTACAGATTTTGGTGAATATAAAACAATTTAATTAAGTTTCCAAAACAAAACATGTTAAACGCTTTATTCATACTGAATAGTTATTATATTGTTCCTGAAGTTTTTACCATTCACTGTTTCTTTACGCTTGGAGAATAAGTACTGAGAGATAAGAATCCATATATTTGGATCTTTCAAATTTCCATATACTACTTACATATAGTACTTTACTATTGCAAGGTTCCTACAGTTTTTTTGGCTTAAATTATTTTATATTATTGCTCTGACTAACATATTGATTGACTAAAAATAAAATTGACGCAGATAATTGTGAAACGAATGGTGATTATATCCTTAGACTGTTTGTAACCTGTATATCCTGTGCTTTTCGTTTCGAAATAATTTCTTGGAAAATAGTCATTGACACTTTGAAGGAAAATTTCTTCATTATATCAATTTCATTATTATATATGTAAATCTATTATATGTAAACATTGCGTTATTTATTTCATTTTGTACACTAAACACTAAATAGAATTTTCATTTAAAAAATCTTGTTGCTACCTAGTAGTAAATGTAGCTCAAATGGCCCATATTACAAGGGCCATTTTTTCAAACTCTAATGGACTAGAACAAAAATACAAGAGAAAAGAAAAAATGGATTTATAACCAAAAGTTATGTACAAACACGATTACTTTTTTACATAATGGCCGTGAAGATTTAGGTATTCATTTTTTGTATGAACATGTTTCTCGATTTTCTCTTCGTTAAACATTGCCGCGACTTATGTGATATAGACTTGTACTTTGCTTTAATGGTCCTCGTTAGCCTGGAAGCTTTAGTCTTCAGTAAATTTCTTTAAATCGAGGAAGGGACCAAAGGCACACGCTGCTAAGCTGGGCTTCACTCCGAAAGGTTCAGTTCGTACCATCTACTTCCAGATGTTTGTTACAGCAGCATTGTGATGGTCGTCGGTGACATGAATGAAGACATCTCCAAGAACCAGCATTCTTCATTAAATTGAAAGTTTACGCCATATACTCAGTTCATTCTTTGTGAATTTCTGCTGTAGTATTTCCTTCAGCTTGAAGAAATCCAATAGCAATACGCAGCTCTCATTAGGCGGGGGCGTCAATTAAATCATCCTTCTTCACGCGCGTACGATTCAGCTGAAATTGACGAAATGGCGTCAGCACAATCGCAAACTGCACGTCCACAACCCTACTTTTCTAGCAGTTTAAGGGAGCAAACGGAGGTTGAAAACAGTCCTTGTGTTTTGTAATCTTCTCGCAGATACTTATTTTGTATTCATTATCTCAGATACCCAAACAATATTTATGGAAATGAAATGAATATGAATCCATCCCTTTGAAAATGAAAAAGGATATTGCATTTACAAAAACTGATGTTCAGACAATGTAAAAACATGCCTTACTGACGCTTTACCGTTTGCATTTAAAACTATTGCGCACCAGTAAATCTCTGAAATATGGTGGCACAATTAGTTCGTAAACTTCCACAATCATGGTGCTGTATTATTATAAGATGCAGATATAAAGACTCCACGGGTGCCTCTCTGGTCAACTTGCTCGTTTTTCGTGGGTTCCTCGCTTTCCTTCGGGTTCGATTCCCGGTCGGGGCAGATTATAGTGTGCGCTATCCTTGCAATTACCCAGTAGAGTGTCTGCTGCTGTGTGGCGATGAGAAACCTCACGCTGACCTGTTGGAGGCTGTTGTGTCAGAACAGACAATCAGTATGAAGTGTAAATAAATGTCCATTCAATGGTTACATTTATTTTATTCATTCTAAGTAAAATATCTAAATGAGTTCCAATTCACAGGATATTCTTGATAGACTTGCTGAGATATGATTCTTGATCATCTTGCTGTGGGCTACAAATTCTACCTTGCTTAACGCTGTTATCTCCCATGAGGTTCTTGAATTGATATCATGATTTAAAAATGTAAAGAAGCTTAAGTAATTGCAGTATACATATCCTTACCGCATGTTTTATTTCATAAATATATCAATAAAGTATCGTTTCCTGTAATATTGTGAAGAGATAGTAGTATAATTTCTGAACTGAGCTTTGCCTAAGACACTGGTAACAATTATTTAAATTCTTAAATGAAAAATTATTGATCATTACACTAAACGCTATTTTTCTACGTATTCAATTACATTTCATTTTATAAAAAAATAACAGGATGGACATTCTCAGGAATTTTAGGATTTTTAGCAGACATTGAAATTTAAATAAATAATATAACATCTAGTGTTACTGTTTCTGTTTTTATCCAATAATAATAACCACCTTATAATATATCTAACATATCGTATCCGTTTGTGGATATAGTGTCAAGGTATATATACATATATATACATATATATATATATACATATATATATACATATATACATATACATATATATATACATATATATATACATATCTTGACACTATATCCACAAACGGATACGATATGTTATTTATTTAAATTTCAATGTCTGGTAAAAATCCTAAAATTCCTGAGAATGTCCATCCTGTTATCTTATATATACACATTATGATTGTCAAGAGTATCATTGAAATCTACTTCGCGAATCTCTTCATGCTACATTTTAATGGGCGGCATCAGCATCACATAATCATTTTACATAAAATTATAAAATATCATCAACCATAAAAACAAAGACGAGAAATGAAAGAGTTATCTTTGAAGATCAAAGGCACACATCAAAGGCATAGTATCCTCTTTCTCGGATAATTTTGCTGCTTGAGTGGGTAACGTCTGTACCGTAAAGGAAATATTAATATATCGATCGTAACGGACCACTACGTGCTGTGTGTGGGAAACTCTTACTGAGATACCCCTATCAGGAATATTTCTATAAGAACATAAAACACCAAAGAATGTGGGTCACGAAATTAAGCTTGAAGATTCTGTGTAATGACAAAGAGAATTTCTAAGACATTACGAAAAGGAGAATTTCAGACACAATTAAAAGATCAAAGACGTATGTTTCAATTTGAACGAATGTTTCAAAAGACAATGACATTATTATATTTGCTGGAAACCTGAAATATTCGTCGAAATAAAGTATAAGTTAGTTAACAATATAGTAAATTTATAACAATATCATAAGTTAACAATATAGTAAAGTAGTGCCTATTTGCGAATGTACTGCTGAATAAATAATTACTATCGATAATTATTTTAATAATGTATGAATGTCACATTGAAATATGTTTAAATTTGAGTACATTACATTCATTACATGACGAAAATGCTATTATAAGAGTATTAAACATTAATTAGTGGAAACCCTGATGTCAAAAATTGACTAAAAAGAAAATAATGTAAACCAGTAGCGATACAGACTGCCACACTTTCTCATACTTGCTAGTTTTCTAAATTTCTTTGTAACGGATTAGCTTTTCGGTCTTCCTCCATCCTCTTGCCAACGGCCATGTATTGCCGCAAAGTACATGTTTTTAAGATTTCTCATTTTTTTCTCAATTCTCAATACTGGTAAAACTGAAGCATTACTGAAGAATACTATAAAAAGTCAAAACCTCGTCCTCTATGACAATTTTTGTAGAAACCTTTGGACACGTTTTTGAGTGAATGTTGTTTAAACATTTCCGTAAATGCAAATTTGAAGTTCATTTTCAAAGAAAACATCTGATTTTTTGAAAATCTTCATTGAAAGTCATTTAAAGCACATCCACTCACAAATGCGTTACTGTACACAAATCACTGTAAATGTGCATATTATACATATATATTTGCATGTGTGTGTACGAGAATGTAACTAGTGGTGTGACAGAATGGCACAGACGTTTTCGTGCTAGTTCTAATTTCTTTTGTCTGAGCTTGTTTTTCAATGTTGCCCCGTCTCTTGAGAGCTGCAGCCTATTGGCGTCCAAAGAACTTTGTTTTGAAATTTTCTCAATGTTTCGTTTTCCTAATGGCAGAACCTAAATATTACTTTAATAATAGTATAGACGAGTAAAACTTGTCCTACAATGACAGTTCCGTTGGAAAATGTGGAGCCCTTTTTCAGAAAATGTCGTGGAGAAGTTTCTGTGGGTTTTTGCGAACTTTGAGACTCTTTTCCACACAAAACGCTTGAGTTTTCGAAAAACTTCATTAGAAGGAATTTCAATCACCTTCACAAATTTAATCTACTATAAAAAACAATGTTTGTTCGTTGGCTCGTTCGTATTTTATGCGCTGCGTTCATCCAATTGCGAAAAATACTTATTGCTTGTATTTGCGTGAAGAATATGTTCATAGTACAATGGTAATGTGCGTGTGTCTTTGGCACGTTCACGCAAAAAGGGGCCTTGTTGATTTTAGATGAAATTAATGCTGACTCAAGCGCCCCTGAACAGAAGCTCTACGCAACCCGTCGCACCTTCAAGTATTAAGGACATCTTTGCGGCATATTATGCCCCTGTGATTGTGAAGTATTGGCGAGAACTAGAAAATTATCACGGACAAGTCACATTTCTTCAAGACAGTACCATGGCGAATGCATGCCTAACTTGAGGTAGAACGCTTTAACAATAGGATTCTTGTCAACCATGTCCAAACCAAGACACAGAAGAACATGAAACTGGCGAGAAAGTATTTCATCTATTAAAATGCTTGCAGAGCTTAGCGTAAAACGTGATTAATCACGTAACTAGTACAGATAGTGAAATTTAGTACATTGCAATAGAGAAGTATTGTCAGGTCCCCTAGTCAAGTATACAAATTGCTAGAAATTACATATTAACAGCTAGAGAGATATTTAAAAAAAATGTGCATACTTTTTGAACAGTAAAATGAAAAAGTCAAATTATTTAATGACATCTGTTACAATACGTTTAACACTAGCCCTTTCAAAAGTTTAAAGAAAAAATCTGGAGCGTTTTTGAAAAATTCTTGTTTTTGATATTTTTTAATATTGCACATATTTCACTCAATATTTTACAAAAATTCCTAAGTTTAAAAAAATGCAAGAATTTAATGAAAAAACTAATTATGGAGAATAAATTTTATTTGAAGGAAAACATCTCTATCTTCAATTATATAGTTGTAGGAATCCGCCGAAAGCATTTCAAGCTTTTGCAATTTTTGAAAATTTAGAGTTATCAGTGAAAAACAGATTTGTGACAATTTTATAAGAGTGTTTTACGCTACTTTTACAACAAATTTAAAGAAACATTTAAGTCATTATTTGTAAAAATTTTGAAAATGTCTTCATGAAAAGTGACCCAAAATTTAAAGAATGTTTTTCAAAATAGTAGAACTTCGAATCAAGTATGATCGATTTTGGACTATCAATTCCAAATTCAGTTCCAAAAAATCCTTTGAATAATTTAAGCGGTAATGTAGTTCAGACAGAGAGACGTTTTGAAATAAACTCTTTTTCGGTATAAAGGACCCACAATTTTTAAAATCTGACTATACAATGTGCTAGAGAGAACAATTTTCTATGTATTAAAACAGAATTTATCCACTTTTTGTGTATCAGACCCAAACAATACGACTTTTTCTGTCGAAAAATCGTGGTTTTTCGCCTTAGCATTACATAACTTTCACTATACAACAAATAGTACTCCGTACGTGCAAGGAAAAGTAAAATACAAAGTTCCTACATCAAATAACTGTTTCCAAAGTTCATATTAAATTAAATATCTTAAAAATATATTTTCTAATCTTGATCGTTAAAGAAGGGAGAGAGAATTGCATAAATTCCTCACTCTAAATAGTATTAAAAGTATCGTTAATATGTTTCCTAGGGCATAGCGGGAGGGACGTTATCTTAAATGTGGGAACATGTTTCCCTCATCCGTCCCGTCTGGGGAGTGGCGATCATCCTTTTGCTCTTAAGCGAAGTGGCAGAGGCGACGCCGGCGAAACCTGAAGACATTCTGAATCTCATAAACGCTGTTTTGCGCCACTTCCAACCTAGCTGTGTTCATGTGCTTCCGCCCAACGAAACCGGTAAGTAACTACCCTAAGAAATAGGCATTTCACTTTCTACTACAACAAAAATTAAACTTTTTATTGTATATTTTAGATCACGTTTGTTTTCACAAATTTTTGTAAATTCTACTTAAGAGAGTGGTGTATTCGGATTACTTCACGCTAAATCTTTTAATCTGAATTAGAACTAGAATTATGCATTCCATTTTATATGTATGCTATGTATACTATGTTTGACAGGTACTCCTCGTTTTCTTTCTATTTCATCTTGTGTCTCTGTGGTTAACATAATTATGTCACTTATTTTTATAAGTCTTCCCTTTGCTTCTGCTCCTCGTTTACTTTTTTGCTTCTTCCTTTTCTATTCCTTCCTCTGGCTTTCTTTTACGCGCAGGAGCGGCGGCGCGGGGGCTGGCGGGCGCGGCGCAGCTGCTGTGGCTGTTGCGGCGTCTGCGCGCGCCGGGCAGCGCGGGGGGCGGGCGGCGGGCTGCCACCCGAGCGGCTCGAGCTCGCCTGCCCGCGCGGCCGCCCGCTCGTCGTGGTGTTGCCCGCCGCCGCGCGCGCCCTCCACCAGGTGACCCAGCTGCGCTGCGATTTAGACGTAGGCGTAAATCAGTTGGCACGGTGTCATCCAATCGAGAGGTTGAATGTCACCATAGCGATGTCTCTGTAGTGATGTTTAAGCTCCCGATTTGATGACACCGTAAACGCTGATGGACTGCCCAAAGTCCCTATAAGAATCTATGTATACAACCAACAAAGTTTTTTTGTTAAAATATATATCTGCCCTTTAGCGAAAATTGTTAACTTATAAGGACTTGTTAATTTATTTTACATGATTGTTGTGTACAACAAATAACTGAATTACTATAAAGAAGACAATACAAATCGTGAACAAACAAAGAATTGGCCATTCAGGGCCCCTTCCACGCCGGTACCGCCACACGCCACCGCCGCATGGCCACACGTCGTGGAAGGGGAAGGGTTCGGGAGTTTGACGCGTCGGCGACGACGAACAAAGAGACGCTGAAGGTGAAGCTCCGCGACCGATTGTCCCAGTGGGAAGACCTCCATTTAAACCAATGATTTTCTAGCGGTGGCGCGTACGCCCTTCCGCGCTGCTGGAAGCGGGAGTTTGTCACCGAACGCCGCAGCAGGGCAAACCCGCCACACGGGGAAGATTAAAACCCATTTAGGAATTAAACCAATTTAATAATTGGGCAATTTAAACCAATGCTTTGCTACTAGCTGCGTCTTTCAGAAGAACGCTGCAGTGACGACGTGGGAAAAGGACCTTAAATATGTTCCTGTCCTTTGGTCAAAATGTTTCTGTATGGCAGAATAAAAAAGGAAATAAACTTGAAATATTAATAAGTAGTTAGGTTCATAAACATAATTCAAATAATGCTTGTTTGATATGCCTAATCTGACAAACATATTTTCCTATGATGCCACAATTGCCCGCCTCGCGCTGCTTCAACTTGCACATGTAAACACCTTGCTGGATTTGGAGGGGAAATGAGATTAATCAGGGGGAGTGGCCGGTGCTCGCAGGAGCGCTGAGTTCCAGGCGGACAAGAAGCTCTCGCGAGCGCTGTTTTATACTATCATCACTTTAATCTAAGGAATTTGAATTTTTAAGAGTTAGTGACTATTAAAATATTTTTCTCGTGACACTAAGTTTTTTTCTTTCTTTCGTCTTCCCGGCTCTTCTTAGTTTTTCTATTCTTTATTCTTCTTCTTAATCTTATTTTTACATGTCTTTGGTTCCCTTTAATCAATTATTTGTTTATCGTTTTTATCTGAAATAAAGGCATCCAATATATTAAAGTGTTTTAGTTGCACTTATAACACTCTCGTTTGTAAAAAACAATCTTATTTACCGTACGTTTACAAACTATTGCTCTTTGCAAACTTAACTTTAACTCTTTTACTTAACAAACTCAAACTTAACTCTTATACAAACTATTGCTCTTTTTTATTCCCGCACATGCTGCAAGTGAGGTTTGGCATAGCGTCCTTTTGGAAGATTTACTTTGTCAGCTCAATTAAATTCCTAAAAATATCTCATCTCCGTTTAAACGTAGACCGCACCAAGAGAGTATAGATACCGCTAGCTCTTCGCATTGAACAGTGTCGTCGATTCCATTTGCCCCCAGCTGCAGGCGCGCCCCGAGTCCCTGTCGCGCGCGCGCTGGCTGCTGCTCCTGGCGTCGCCGGCGGACGCGGGCTGGGACGCGGTGGCCGCGCTGGCGCCGCCCGTCGACTGCGAGTTCCTCGTGGCCGCGCCGTGGCCCGCCGCCGCGCCGCCCGCGGCCGTCGCCTGCCGCGCGGAGCCCCCGCCGCGCACACTGCTCAGCGCCGGCGCGCATCGCGGGTGAGGAGCGTGACGATTAGTTACACAGGCGGAATCGGTTTCTTTGAGATGTGAGAGTGGCATGGTTACTTTTCGTCTCGAAAGATTTGGGAAGGCTCTTTCCGTTAGCTGGATGTATCTGCCCATGCTGGAATTGAATTAAAAGTGCGTTATTCGATTGAACATTACAAAAGATCAACATAATAAACTACCAAATTAATCCACTGATAGATTTTTTTCCTTTAAAATTTAATTATTTAATTAGGTGTAGTGGTGGGAGGGGAACAGAGGCATTAAATTGTGAACAATAAATCATCGTATGATCATTTATCCCTTTCGGGCTGTCTATAATTTTTTGGTGTGGTCACAAACCTAACCAATTATACAAATGGAATTTCTGTGATTTATTTATATTTGCATTCGTTTCAAGCGTTCAGTCTGGTGGAAATCAATCGTGTACGTTGCTGTGAATTTGCTGTAACGTAACAAGAGGGAATGAACGGCATACCGGCATTTTTCCTCCTCTTGATGTTATAACTAAACAATTGGCTATATGCTTTAAAACAAGTGCATGGCATCATTTAAAGATCGATAATTGAATGGAATACATGCAAAAAAATCGAAGCCACAAGAATAAATATGTTTGAAAATGGCTTGGAGATTTGAGACATATTTTTGAAGCAGCAAGAATACTCGCAGAAAATTATATCTGTAGGTTTCTATTCAATTCGTAACATTCTACTATAGCCACCCACTGGTTGCAGTAGAATATTGTGCATTGTGCATAGTAATCAAACAGATTATGCCCCACACATGCCCCCATCCATTTATACAAATCGATTTTGAAGTACAAAATTACATGTACCTCCTCTCACATGCATCGATCTTCACCACCTTTATACCTGCACTAATTGACCTTAATTCTGAAGTGCTCGATGAGTCACAGCTGGAACGAACATGAAACGTTGATTTTAGTCCGATATTTGAGATATTTCTGAGGACCTAATTAATACATTTTTAAAAATATCTAACCTCCACGCTTGTTCATTGTATATTGTCATTATTTCTGAAGATGGTTAACATCGTATAACTGCCAGAAAGCTTTTCAGGTGAAACATGGTAAATACGTCAGGAGTACGACTACTCGTAGTTGTGCTGTTCAGGAAATTATTGAGATATTTTAATCTTGGAGGAATCTTTGCATGAAGCCCCTGTGACATTTTCATAATTTTATGGCAAATGGGTGATTCCCGCCTTCTTTGTTCGAAAAGAAGGAAGTATATTTACAAATAAGATAATGTTCTGATTTTTATAGAAAACACTGAATTTTTGAAAATTGCAAAAGTTCGAATGTATTTTCGGATTTGTTCTACACTCCCAATATTAAAACTCTGATACTTTTTTTTTAATTTAAATTAATTTATCGACGCATAGTCATCAAGGTCATTAGCAACTAAACATATAAATACATTTTACAATTACAATATAAAATTTAGAACCATATTAGTTATCATAAACATTACGAAAATACGATACAAACAATTCAATACAAACAGTAAATACGATACATAGAATTCATTCAATACAATACAGACCACCCAAGTATAATAATTAGTTCCTCTGAATGTTTTGAAAAAATTGATTTCCTTAACGAAATCAATAATTCCCTTTTATTAATCTTTCGAGCTAAGAATGTTATCATGGTTGCCTTCTAATTGGTGTTTTTGCCTAATTCTTTTGTATAGCAGGCAGTAAACTAATATGTGTTTTACATTTAGAAGAACAATACAATGGTCACATTTAGGAGGCTTTTTCCCATCAGATATTTCTTTCTCGTTGTAATACACTCATCAATTTTAATCTTTGAATGATGTCAGTCACTTATTAAAACATGGGGAATTAAAGAATAGCACTACGAGAATGGTTTGTTTTGGTGTGATGGGCTAGTTTTGTCGTTGTTGTTTTTGAATTCTGGTCCTGAAAGCGTGAAAGGATCATTTTGAACCGAAACAAAGCTCTACAGCCCGTTGGCGTGTGTCAGAGAGCACGTGGCAGCGCCGTTTGCGGCAGGTGGTGGCTGTGGGAGGTGTGGGCGGTGCCGGGCGCGGAACCTCGGCGCTTCTGCCGCCGCTGGGGCTGGTGGGCGGAGGACGGCCTGCGCCCGCCTTCCGCGTCGCTGTGGGCGCGACGCCAGGACCTCAACGGCGCTCGCCTGCGCGCTGTTGTCAAGGAGGTGCGCTTCTCACACGTGACTCTCGACGCAGCCACTAAAACACACAGCATTAAACTATACGGATTGTGCATTTAACGAACGAGCTCTAAAGCGAAGGTTTTTATCATTGGTAGGCCTACTGTTGAAGCTATGTGGTTACTTTCAACATTTTTCTGTTCACCGCAAAATATGTTATACTTGAAAAATAAAATACCACAATAATTTAGTTTTCGTACTTAGATAGGAAAATGTTTTGGTCTTTCTAATGTTCTGTATGCACTCTTATCCGTGCGGTCGTAGGTAAATAATTGCCCATAATTTGCAATAAATAATTATTTTTCGTGCCATCAATCGATCAGTCTACAGAAAAAATTCTAAATTAATACAACACTCATAAACAACTTTCAAAAAGACTAAATATATTCGAAAAATTAGAATGCTTTCTGTGGAGCAGTGTATCACTATCTTCTATGGAAATCTACAATACAGATTCTAAAATATTAATTGAAAAAAATAGCAATTTGGCACACAACACATTTTAAAATTATCAATGTCTTAAATGTACACTTAAGTTACGAAATTATAATTTTCATCAATTAATTCCAAATGTAGTTTTAGTTTTAATTAGAAAATTCTAAGCATGACTATCAATTTTTCTTCCACCATAGTTACAATTAAACACACCTTGAAAGTATATATATTATATCTGCGGTTCCAAGGAACATAAAATTATCTTTTTTTTTACAACATCAAAATAAGGTTCCAATAAATAGTTGTCAAGAAAGACCCTAGTTTAGGCGTTTATCAAATTTCAATTGATTTTCACTAGTTTTGTTAGGAAGCATCAGATTAATAGTTCTAATTAAAATGTGACTTTTGTTCTTAGTACTCACCGTTACTGCTCCTACACGAGAGGCCCGATTCCCCGGAAATACGAGTGCGAGGAGGCTACTTTGGTCATACGTGGTTGATGTTAGAAAAGGCTCTGAATTTCACGTAAGTACGTTATTGCTTCAATTAGTAACATATGAGAAAATAGTTTAAAATAACTTTGTACTTCCAATTGGTAAGAGCATTGGTCATTATGTTATTGTAAGAGTAAGATAATCATGTTACTTTCGTTTAACTTGGTTTATATTATAAAATTACTGGTTGCAGATATAATGAAGAAATGCCTTAAAATTAAATCCATTAAAGTTAATTATATATTTAATAATAAACCAATGAAGCGTTCTCCGGTAAATTATTGAATGTAGATGTAACAAACTATGAAATTTGGAACTCCTTAAAATGTGTGTCGCAAGATCCGATTATTTGGTTGCGCGACTGGAAGAAAGAAATATGCCTTAAGCTGAAACCCTTTGACAATTAATGAGTGATAACTCATAGTTTTGCAACACAATTACTTTGCAACCTCGCACTTTAACACAAAAACGTGAACTACACATTTTCTATTTTGTTAAATTAATTTTCCTTCCACCGAACCATTAAAACATCGCAATGCCACGTAAAGTAATAAAATCATAACACGGACATTTCCCTGAGAGATGGGCAGGCAAAACACCACGTGTTCACTTTAATAACGTCTATTCTGATGACCCTTGATGATACTTGAAGTATCTAGTCTCTTCTATGAAGTATTATATGCGCACGTTTTCTCGAGCTATCTACCCCAACTCCTTTACTGACGTTGGTTGAATTATAGCAAGAAGCGTTGTTGACTAAATCTGGTTACAGAAATATTGACTTCTATGTAATAGAAACTATTTTGCATAGAAAAACGAGCTACAAATTTGATTCTGTTATCCTGTCGGCAAAATAATTTTAAAAAGAACATTCAAAAACGTGCGCCGATAATATCTGTCTTTGTACTTGATCGCCAACACCAGCGGCGGCGCTGGTGTAACGGTGAGCTTATCGAACTGTTATACCCAAGTTGGCGGGTTCAAACTCGATCGAAGCCGTATGATTTTTAAGGGCAAAAAAAAAAATAATTTGTAGGGAAGGGGTTCCCTTTCTTCGAAGGGGAAGTAAAGCCAGCTGTCCCATGTTAGTAGATTTACTTACATGTAAAAGATCCTAAAGCCTAAATGGAGCCTCTGAGCTAAATTCAAATCACCTGTTTTATTGTCCAAGGAAATACCTGCTTTGTTTGCTAGTTGGTGAAAGGGGCGTAGCGAAATTTGCGTGGTCAGACGGAAGAGCAGGCTTAATGGCTCGAGTCTCGCCACGCAAAATAAGGCATCACCTCCATTCAAGGTTGTGCGAGGCACGAGAAGAGAGCGGAGGGATTTGCGTTCGCAGGACGCACTACTTCTCGCCGGCGGACGACCTGTGGGGCGAGGAGGGCGCGGGCGGGCGCTGGAACGGCGTCGTGGGCGCGGTGCAGCGCGCGGAGGCCGACGCGGCGCTCAGCGGTTACGACGCCCTGCCCGAGCGCGCCGCCGCCGTCGACTTCTCGCAGCCCCTCGTCATCAGCAAGTGAGCGCAAGGGCACTTAACGAAGTTCCCGGAGGAAGAGCTGAGCCCGGGTTCGATCAACGACCAGCAACGTTCACTTGGGTTTCTTGGTGATACTCACGTCTCATGAGTTTCCTGACAATTTAACACATCGTTAATGCAGAGTGAGGAATTAAGCATAGGCCCCAGCACCTCCCCTAATTCATCTAGGTGATTGCGCTCTGATTTCATCGTGGAACTTGAGGAGGGATTCCCTGACCCCCTGGAATAAGGAGTGTGTCTCCCACTCGTCCAGCGGCACAGCTCGAGCCTTTTCCAATGCCCAAGTTCCAATAGTAGTGGAGCTGGGGAGGTCAAGAGCGTTAGGGTTAAAGCGTAAATGCAGTTGCCTGTCCGGATTGTTCACGCGACATCAGATGTGTTGCCAATACTCTTAAGGTCAGGGTCAAACTCTAAAGGTTAAAAAAGCTCTGGTACAGGTAGGCGGAGTATGATGGAACTACGACATACAAACTGGGTCTCACTAAATATATGCTTCCTCCAGAATACACTAGTGATGTTAGAACAGCACTTACTTTCTCACGTTATTAGAAATAGCTACGTAAGTTATATATTTTTACGCTACTTACACCTCAGCTATACTTGAAAACGTCCAATTCAACTAAGAAGCAAGCAACAAGTTGCCAGCGCAGCGTTGTTAAAACTATGTGCATTCCATTGACGAATAATATCAATTCTTGGCAAAAACGCTTATTTCATCTGAATTTCGATTTCAACTTGTTTATCGATTAGTCAGAGTACATCACACATAGTTGATAAATAATTAAATTACTAATAGTCTACGAGTTCTATTATTAAGTTAATTTATAGCCGTTTTTTTATATATTGATACCGTCTCAACTGAAGCTTAGGAAAAATATTTTTAAAGCATCATGTTTGTTGGATCGACTACGGTTAAGTTTCCCCAAAACACTTGAAATGAAAGTAAAATCTCTGCTCCACAAGCCGTTAAGAAATAAAACAGCTATATCTTATGACCGCCACCACCTCGGCGTTCAACAACAATTAGTTTATCAAATATCGATGCACCAATGATGCGAAATTTCAATTAATCTTTGCGGATTGCCTAAAAAGAAATACATCAATAGATTTAGAATATAAATTGGGTAAAAAGGAAAAGTGCGAGAAAGTAAAATATAATTAATATTGATATTTTTAATAGTAATTTATAATTCAAATTAAATTAATTATTTTTCATTCATTAATTCAATTTTACTCATGGCCAGTCCTTGGTGTGAAACCTGTATATATTTCATCAATTTCAAGCAGAAACTACGCAAAAACTACACTTTTTTAAATATAATTGTACATTATTTTTAAAGAGATAATTATGTACAACAGATTTTGTCTGAGAGAAAAAAATCTATCTTCATTTTTGTAGTTTTGAATCTTATTACCAATGTTCGAAAAAATCAGGCAGTACCCGAAACTAGGACCATATTTCTTACCGTCACTTATGACATATGTGGACCAAATTTAAAGAAAAGGATTGAATTGGTTTTTAAGAAAAAATTATAAATTTCAAGCACAAATTGCGCAAAAACGAATCTTTTTTTTTCACAAAATTGTACATTTTCTTTTTAAGGAGCTAATTTTCTACTGACTTTGCCCGAAAAAAAATTATATTGTCAATTCGGTGGTTTAAAAAAATTGTTTGCAATTTTCGAAAAACTGAGAAATATTTGAAAATAGTACTAGCACCATATTTTTTACCGTCCCTTATTACATAAGTAAACAAAATTTTAAGAAATAATTTGAAGCAATTTTTTTTTCAAAAAATGCGATAATTTTAAGTGAAAATTACGCGAAAGCTATTAATTTTTTTAAAACTTGTATGTGACCTTTTTTAAAAAGATAATTTTGTACTACGTACATTGTGTAAGGTCCTGTTTCTTGACTTCTTAGCTAAGCATTGGTCGGTGTGACTACTTGTACGGGTAACCTAATCGAGGACCCTACACATCCGACTCCCGAAAGCATCAGTTTTGAAGTCGCTGTAACATACGTTATCACTCATGATTTAATCTAACATATCAAAAAACTAGTGGTGCGTCAACGGCACGTAGTTTCTCGCATATTTTAAACTTTTGCTATTTTTAAAAGTTCAACGAAACTTGCACCAAGTTTTTAAGCGTTCTATACTTTATCCGAGGATAAAATTAGAATAAAAATTTTGAGCCAGTTTGGGGAAAATTTTGAAAATGTCGAAGGTTCATGAAAGGAGAGAGAGAGGGAGGGAGGGAGAGAGGGAGGGAGAGAGAGTAAAACAGCCCTTTGTATCACGTTGACTGCCACGTGATGCCAATGCTTCTGAAGGGTCTGAATAGCGGTGTGGCCTCGTGAAGCCACCTCGGTCTCACATGGCAGGACCAACAGCGCGGTGCCAGAGCGGCTTTACGCAACGCTTTGGTGCTTACGCAGTTGTTTTCCTCAGGGCTTCTGGAGCAAGAGATAGCTTTTGCCTTGCCGACTAGTTTACGTATTTGTTTGAAATTGAGAGAGGAACGCTGATAAATTGGCCACATCAATATTCTTATCTTGGTGGCAATCCAAGGAGTTTTAATTATTAGTGATGGCGAGTTTCAAAAATGAGATGTTAAAAGCGCGATAAATAAATTAATAATGTGAAGTTGATACCAATCTCTTCGTGGATCTAAAAAAATTTCTTTCTTCAGATATAATAAATGTGCATTACAAAACGATATTTTTTAATTTCATTCGCAACAATTTTAATTTATTTTCTACATAAACACACAGATCATTCGCTCAATCATATGCTTACCATTTTAAAATTCATGCCAGTAATATTAACAATTTAATTATCTTTACCAGATAGTAGAAACTTAGTTTGCGAATTTGGTATTTGATCTGTATTTTGTGTGCTAGTAACTGAATATGCCTTGCTAACGTTTGTATGAGTATGTGCGTATTAACATACCCATGTGAGGACTCTGTTAAATATTAAATTCCACCATCTTTCCTTTTCCATATTAAAAGGATGTTTTTAACAAAACGTGTTCATTTCTTCAAAAAATTTAAAAACTTAACTTCTTATGTACTTAAAAAATTTTAAATAACAATGAAAACAATTAAATTCATGTTTGAAAGAACTTTTGATACAGATTTATTCAGTATTAAAAACATGTTCATGGGACACTTCACAACACTTCTTTGTATAATTCCTTCAAGTGCCTTTTATAATTTTCCCTGACAGTTTCATTTTCGCTTTCTTTGATATACAGAAAAATATTACCAAAGCTTTTTACTCTCGAGAAAAGTACTTAAAGTTGTCCAAGTGAAAATATAGGATCGGGCTCTACTCTCTGGAATATTATTTAACTTTATTACCAACCTGAGAGGTATACCGTGCAATTTAATCGCCTAGAATATCAAGTAATTAGTTTAGTTTCATGTAGTTGCAGATTCTGTAGGTTATTGATCCTGCAGATTCAGTAGGTTATATCACAAACTTTTTATAAAAATAAAAATTTAAATGCTAACATTCCATAAACGAACGGTTGCATTATACACATAAAAATTATCTTCGGAATCAAGCAAATATTGATACTTCTAATTGTTGTTGCGAGAGTATTTAGGTTTATTTGAATAATCTTGAATTAAAGATTATTCAAATAAACCTCATCAGTCGACGCAAACCATGGTGTACACAGAAAGGATTGTCTCCTATATTATTTCAGTAGTACACATAACTTTTGCGGCACTTACACGCAAGCGATCTTTATAAATGAGGACTCTAACGAAAGCAAATTTTACGGAGACTTGACAAATGGCACTATCTATGACTATGCAGGATTTGCGCTATCGATGGCACTATGGACTGCACTATGAATGGCACAATGCAGCATTTATTTAAAAAACGCATCTAAATTTTCATGTCGAATACAACCCGCAGTACTCATTCAGATAAATCGTTATATAACTCCTAAACGAATCAGAATCAGATATTCTTGGTCATCCTATTAAATTTTTGCTGGTTCGGCACTTATCGATGTTACTAATGCCACCTATATTTCAGCCCATGGTGATGGTGTCCATCTTTGTAACATCACTCTTAGAAGGCTTAAATTCCTCTATCTTAAACTTTTGTGCTTTCTATGTACACCGTAGTTTACGTAGACTTACGAGGTTTATTTGAATAATTAGTATTCAAGAGTCACTCCCGTGGCAACAACTACAAGTACTGTTAATAGTTGCTTGATACCGATGAAGATTGTTTCTTATCGGGTAGCGAAAACATTAATTTAACGTTTTTCTGAGGTCTACAAGTGCTGTGTACCTAATTGTGGAGGGATGTGGGAGTACAGTGAAGAGGGAAGACGTGTCCTGTTAGGTTTGATTTGTGTTTTATCTGTACCAGTATTTTTGTTATCAGCAGTGATTCGGTTAAACTTTCAAGTCAGTGAATTCAGTCAGGTAGCTTTCTCAAGAGTAAAAAGCTTTTTTTAAATATTTTTGTGACTATCACGAAAATTGAAAAGCTGTCAAAGAATATTGAATAGTTACTTCAAATATTTTTAAGGGAGTGCTGTGAATAGTTCCAAGAAATTTCTCGATAAAACCGAATAAATCTTTATTGAAAATTTCTTTTCCACGTCAATAGCATTGTTTTATTTTAATTTTAATTTTTATTTGATATTGTGTTAGTACAATGGGAGTTACCTTTATATATTTTAACAAATAAATACGTTCCGTTTACAACTTTCTCTCGTAGAATGGAAATAGAAGAATAGGGACAATTATGAGATTTACAATGCAAGAATTCTCGCATGGGTATGCGAAGGTAGTAGGGGAAAACGTGTGCTATGGCACAACACAAAAATCGAACTGTTAAGGTTAACTAGAGTAAAATAGCTTGAAATAAAAAACAAAAATTAAAACATGCTAGCCTACAATGCTACGTGATTTAATTTTAAAAAAGCAACCAAATTAAAAATTATAGAAAGA